AAGGGGTAAAGAATGGGCTGGTGAAACCAGCAGAAACAGCTGACCTGAACAAGGGGGGGCTCTTCGACCCCAGAATGACATCTGGGAAGTCAGCATGGGACTGATCCAGACTCCCTGAATGTGAGAGTCAGTGAAGAGACCTGGACAACTTATGGGGCCCTGGACAGTAAATCAGTATTTATCCCTGGCATACAAATGGGCTTTGTGTGTCCATACCACAAAGAGGGATGCTCTTTCAGCCTGGACTCTTGGGGGAGGGTCTGGACCCTGCCCTGAACGAAATGACAGACTCCAGAAGGGAGTGGGGATAGGGTGGGAGGCTGGGGAGTTGGCGGGAGTGCAGGAGGTGAGGACGGAGAGGGAGCTGGCATTGACATGTGAAGCAAGCTTTTTTTCTAAAAAATGTAATAAAATATAATGAAAAAAGTATTTCTTTGGATGCATAAACAGGAATTTGACAGCTTAAGCCACTGAACACATGAAATATTGTGTTTAACCCAAACTGCCCACCTAACACAGCTGCAAGTTAAATAGTATTGTTTGGAGGCACTAAGTTTTAGGGTGGTTTGCTATGCAACAAAATCGAATACAGTGTCTAACTAAAATAAATTCAAAGAAAACAGTTGTTGTCAAAGCCTCAGGTTAACAATTCTGAATACAACTCAGAATGTTTGCTTTCAGCATAGCAAGTCCAAATCTCTTTCTTCTCCAACACAATCCCAGGTTCCAGTCCCATGAGCCATACCCGGTGCAACTTGTCCGTGTGTCACAGCACTTACCTAGCACTGTGGAAGATTACCACAGGGAAAATTACACCATGCAAATTATGCATGCATAGTTCAGAGTGATTTTTTAAATACTACAAAACAATCTATTTTAAAGCCCAGGCATATTCAAAGTGCAGCAGATGTGTGTTTATTATAGCTTTTTTTAAAAGGAGCTGTTTTCTGCTGGTGTGGTGACCAGAAGCCATTACCATCTCTCAGAAGACCCAACGATTGTTCTCAATGACTCAAGCTCAATGAAAGTCTCACCAACACACACACACACACACACACACACACACACACACACACACACACCATACCACACCACACCACACCACTCATGGAGAGACTATAGTTCTCATCACAAGTTGGGATTTGGGGTATAACTTAGTGGTAGAGCACTTACTCAGCATATGCAAAACCCTGGATAGACTCCTCAATGTTAGATTCATGTATGTATCACAGCACCTCTTGCCTTACTTTCTGTTACTCAATGCTCTAGTCACATGTGAACATATAATCAATTATGTGCTGTAGGAACTGACCCCATTACAGAATCTGAGTAGTCTAAGCATAGTGACCACATTGATTTCCAAAGGAAGAAGTTCAAGGATCCTCTCTGATACACTCTCCAGCTACCTCTAAGTAGCAGAAGAGTACTGAGATGATTGCCAATAACTTTGGGTACTGAAGAACAACAATTTCTAGTGTAGAAAACCTTAAGAATATAAGCATCCCTACACAGACAGGAAAAGGCACTTTTCTGGGATGGTAGCTATGATCATTTTTCTTGATGGAAGAGCAAATTCTGAAAGTTGATTGTTGGTTTAAAGGAAATACTTAGCCACTCATCCTGTTTTGGTTTTGAGTTCCAGGCTGCCTCTCTCCTAAAGCCCCCTTATGATAAAGACTAGCTCAGTACAGTGCTGAACTAAGGTTTGGGACTGAAGTCCTACTTAATAAAATATATGTGCCTCTTGTCTCAGCCTTTGGGCTCGTGCATCCTGTGTAGAATACAAATGAATGGTAGGGCTAAAGAAAGATTCAAATATTCCCTGGCTGTGTATCACTATGATTTATGTCTTAACAGCATCTGGAACTCATCTCCATCCCTAGCAGTAACTTGGTCTAAGAACGTAAGAGCAACTATTTGCCTCTGGCACTGAATTTGGAAAATAAGATTACACAGAACAGGCAGCCCTCATACATGAATCACTGGTGGTGGAATACTAGAATATAATTCACTGTGTGTAACTGACAGCTGTTAGTTTTCACGGAAACATGCAGTTTTGAAGTTAAGATTAGTTTCACCATGATTTCAACCTGCAAAAGCAAGGTTCCATATGAACTAACTATCTCTCACATAAATGAAATAGCAGTGTCTCCCACATTTGGCCTATTAGATTATAAGGTGTGTGGGGATCATAGACCCTGGCGGGAAACCCACTCCTCCATCAGCCTGGGAGCAGGCAGCTGTGAGACAATATTTACTGAAAACATGTTTACTGAAAACAATTTAGTGCCATAAATTCCTGATAAGGGCTTGATAAGGGCTCGGTCACTGAAACACCCTGACTTTGATCTTCCCGCTGGCTAGCTACTCCCTGCTGTTCCTGATTTTGGTGCCAGAGATTTAACCACCAGCCAGGAGGAAGGAGAGGTGTGTGAGAGGTCTGTTGGAAATGTGTGCGTGTATGGATGGCAGAAGTTTTTCTGAAGGGAAGCATTTTTCTTGGGAAGTTCTCCTAAGCCGATTTGGGGAGCATAAAGTTTTCTTAACACAACCGACTGGTCTCTGTGTCATCAATCCCGACCACCTCGCCATATTCTCGTATGCAGGCTGCACAGGAGGCATGGCAAAGTGCATATACTGAGGCAGTCATCTAGATGGCAAACTCAGCTTGTTCTTTTTTGCTCTTCTTTTAAATTATGCTTTGCTCTCCATTTAAACTATGCTCAGAAATAAGGAAAAACTGACAGTGCGATAAAATCCTAGGCTGTTACGGACATCTATAGTTTCCTGAGAATATGTTCTAGTGTTGTTTTTAAGTTAGACATTGGACAACCCTTAATCTTCACATTTCTGAAGAGAAGACAAAGAAACAACCACTAGTGAACTTCAAGGACTATCCATCCAGTTGACAACAGACTCTTGGCCAAGTGTCTAAAAGTTGTGGATTTCAGAGTCTAAATGCAACCACTGAAGGTAGAGAGAGCTCAGTAACAAAATGGACTAAGCTCTGCATTTACTACATGGAAAAAGGCGATTGTTCAAGTATTGAGATGAAGTAAACTTAATGAGAAAACAAACAAGACCAAAGTAAGAAAGACAGTAAATAATGACTAGGACCCAGAACGCTTTTGCTTTGAGAATGTTGTTGGCCTAGACACACTTAAAATATCCTTGATTAGCAAGCAGTAACTACAGTATATATTAAATGAGCAAAAATGTTTGTCCAGGGAATGTATTAGTTTTAGAAGTGATAAGAGACAAACCAGGAAAGAATTAGGAAATAGAGGAAAAGAAGAAAGCTTTAGCTCTTAGAAACCAAAAAGACATATGAAAAGAGTGGGGAATATACCCACAAAGATACACTCAGATCTCAAACCTAATTGTAATTAATGGAAGCCATTTACTGAAGGCAAGGATGTAATTATATCACTAGACCCAAGATAAATGATAAATGGGTGTTTATTGGATCCGCTGGCCCACCAGAAAGAGCACCCAAAGGAAAGCCACGCCTCAAGTTCATCTCTTGCAGCTTCCATCCACCTGAAGCCACACCCAAAGGGGTGTGGCCTCCTTTTCAGATCCACAGACCAGATGCTGACTATTTACTCAATTGTAAACAATACAGATAACACAAGCTGGAAAAAAGTATGTGGAATGCCATGGAAATTTTAGTAAAAAAAAGGTACTAATGGTCATATTTTGGCAATACTAACTGCCAATAGTAAACTAAATGGCCAGCACAAAATAAAGAGATAACCAAGGCGCCAAAGTCACTGATAGTGATTAGTACCATACCAAATAGTCCAGTAAAGATGGGCCTTATGCACAGACCTTGTTCTGTCTTGGATATAACAAACAGGCTTTGCAGGAAACATAATAATTAAAAACTGTATTTATGATGAGAGTTAAACAGTTGGATATCCAGTGCTTACTATCAGCATACTGTAGATGTACAGAGACCCACATAAGTAGGTTACATTATTTACTAGTCTAACATATTATTGAATTCTAACATCTATATGACAGGGAAAATAAAATATGCAAAAGGCAAGTCTTGGAGGAAATATGGAAAGCAAGGTTTAAAACTGATTGTAAAATTTAAGTTGGATCTGACTATAATAGCCTAAATAATTTTTCCAACAGAAAAGCAAATGATTGATCCACCAGACCAATAGATGAAAAATGTCAGGGATCACAAGAATTCTGTACTGTTTGTACACCATACCACAACAAGAAATGTCAAGACCTGGTCCAATTACTTTAACGAACCACTAGCCTAAACAACAGCTTTGGCCTTACCAAACCATTGTATATCTTGTAACCTGTACCTAGTAATTCCAATAGCTATTGGTAATATAAGAAAGATTTATAAATTGAGAGAAATTAGTACCCAATATGTTATACCAGTTCCAATCCCGTCATACCACATACTAAATTTTCTTAGAGCACAGTGCTTATAAGAACAGATCTGTGATTTAGTATCTGGTCATTACTTTCCTTACCCTTGAACATCTTTCAGCTTTTCATGAATTCACTAAGGGCAAAGAAGAGCTCTGCATATAAGATGTCTTACTGTGAATCTTCTCAGAAACAGAGCCTAAGACATCAGTTCTGATACAGGCAAATGTATTTAAGAACCAACCCCAGAGCCAGTTGTTCTGGCACATGCGGTGGGTAACCATATCACAAGAAAGGCTGAAACAGTAGGGACATAGGTTGGAGGAAAGCCTGAGCTACATATTAAACCCTGTAAAAGAAGGGGAAATATGAACAAGCAAAAGAGAAAATTGACACTGAGGAGTAGCAAAGTGATAAGTGATACAAGAAAATAGATATCTGTTGGCAATTTGAGGGTTTCTGAAGTAAAAAAAAACACCTGGATAGAAAGCAACGTGAATTTAAGCATCGATCATGGGGCAGGCCTGGACACCAGGCAGGAAATCTTAACCACTGCTAAGAGGAGGAACAATTAGGCCACAAGTACAAACCTTTGACAAAACTTGGGGAAATGGCATTTTATTTTGGTCATAGTGGGTAATTCCACCAGTTGAATAGAGGCTTTTTAAATCAAAACATATATCATAGCAAGCAATGTAGCCACAAATATACCACTCAATAAACTGTCTTACACAGAGGGTCTCAAAGGATAAAATTTTGTGAACACTTTTCATAGAAAAATTGTATAATCAGATTGTGCACCAAGGAGATACAAATAGTGACAATAAGAGGGTGATGACATAGCACCATCCTTTGAGTGTAAGGAAATTAAGACATAGGATTAAGATGGATACTTTACAAGCGATTCCACAGAATCCTTGCTGTTATTGGGAGACCTAATTACCCCTTGTCTTCAATACAGATTGAATACAGATTGAGTGAAGGAGACTCCTCAGAGACCCTGTTTCTTTACCCCCTTTCCCTGTTGCACAATTTCCAAACAAAGGATCAAGTTGGGTCAGAAGTCAGTGTCATCAGTTAGAATTCTGTTGCTAGAGAGTAGAGTGTGGAGTCATTATGCTCTTATAAAATTCCAAAGAAATATACGACATTCTGTTCCTCTTCCTCTGGCCGTCAAGCAGCTGATGTGATTAACTGTCTATCTTTTTTTCTTTCTGCAACATGGCAGCCAGCTCTAGGGATATGATCCAGTAATGCTAGGTCTCTTGTTTGAAATGTTATTTCTTTCCTGGGATTTTTAAATCTTCTGTGCCCGTTTAATATCTCTGTAAAAATTTGACAATCAAAAAGGGTGTCATAGTCAGACTTAGGGCATTTTGTACCCTTGACATGACATCACTTACACTGTGCCATCATCTGATAATTGCTGTATAGGTGGTCTTGTTAGAAGACTAAATTCAGTAATGCAGTCGCCTATCTTTACACACAGAAGACATGTTTCACTGTCTATAGTGTGTGCTTTCCAGCTCTTACATAAAACCATTTCATAAGTTTCTAAGGATGACATCTCAATATTCCACTGATAGTCTTCAAGATCTGGGTGGCACGACTCTTTGGTTCGAGAAAGAACCTTAAGAGACATGCTATGGATCAAGGAAACAGCCTCATGAAAAAAAAAACTTGAAGAACTTACCTGCAAATCCTCCCTTAGGGCAGGCACATACCCCTCAGCCATTAACACTTTGGGTTAACAGAGAAGGACTAAGAAGTAAAGACTGTAACATTTCCAACTGTGCTTGCTCCCACCCTTCATCTTTACCTCCCAGAAAAAAAAAGGGTTTCTCTAGTGCAAAGAACTTGAGGGCATCAGTAATTTTCTTCCAGGTATCGTTTTCTCCAGCTCTGGTGACTGATGGGAGCTTTTCAACTCATTTGAGTGGAAAATCCCAAAATCTGATTTGAGGCTTAATTGCTCTGAGTAGCAATTTAGGGGTCATAGCACAAGTTAGTGAAGGCAGTAATGTAGGTCATTCCATTTGTTCCTCTGCATTTGCATTCTCTTGGAAATACACAGGACCATGTGGCTAGTTGGAGACAATGTAATCTAAGTAGTTGTGACATGTATCACTTAAGGGCTAAAGCAGTAAAGAACCTGTATGAAATTCTCCGTTCTCTTATCCTTCTCCTACAGTGACATGAAAATACTGCAGGTCCTGGATGGTTATACTACAGAACAGCAGAACTTCAGTCTGTGTAGACGCTTGAGTGACTGTGTGGAGCACATTCCCTCCCATCCTATTTTTCTGACCTGGACGGGATTTGTAGTGTGAGCAAGAAACAAATTGTTGGTGTTCAAAACCCCTGATGCTCTGAGGTTGCTACCTGAGCATAACTGCATTCCTAATGAAAACAGCTTCCCTTCTTCTGCAATGCACAACAATCATTTCATCATCTTAGAATTTAGTTGTTACTAAATCTATATGCTAACCCAGAGTTCTCTGTTGGCTCTGTGGGACAGAAGATCATGCACAAATCAGCAAGAAAAGTTTTACCTTTTAAGCAAAATACATAGTAATGATGAGGAATACAATTCAGTAAATACAATTGCTTTCTACTGCACAAAAAACAGGAAATAATTACATTTCTTATAGACATTTCTTTATTATATTTTCCCACTTGAATATTTAGAGAATAATTTAAATGTAACGTATACTGACAGCAAGCACAGTATCAAATATTAGGCTTTTTTAATATTTTTCTTTTCTCACCCTTTATTTCTTTAGGAAAAAAATATTTAGATGACCTCAAAGAAACAATTATTATGCTAATCACAGTGTGCAGTAACACATACAAGCCCAGACTCAATAGAAAAGAAAACAACAAAGAAGTGAAAAAGTCTTTCTCCTCAAATCATTTTAATTCATTTTTCCACAGCCATATAAATTTAAAGTCTGAAAACAATAATACAGCTATAGAATCTAGGTTCTCTTTCAAAGCAGCGGCATATAAAACATAGAAAAGCTAAAACCTCAGCACAAGCTTCAAAAAAACAAGGACTGAGAGGAATTCGATGAAGACAGGAAATGCACAAAATACAGTACACAAAATACTAGAATGCATAAAATAGAAAGCTACACATTTCAGGTAGAAAGCATTGTAAAATATATAAAATATGCAAGAAATCAAAAACCAAAGAGATTTTTTCCTTAGAGTACCATGAATAGACTGGAGCTGGTAATTAGCATTTGAAGATGGGAACAAGAAAATAGCAGTTTCCCATTTACAACTTTATTTCTAGGCTTTAGGATTTCACCTTCTTGACATCCTTCTTTCCAGAGCTCTCAGTAGCTGACTCTGCTTTTCTTTTCTGTGACTAAAATGGAAACAGATTTAATGTTCTGCTCCAATATGCACACTTTTAAATGGCCCAACAATGTTAAATCTAGGATGTAAATGCATTAAAAATTTTAACATGAATATTCACTTCAGCGTTACACTCACAGTCATTGTTCTATGTAGCCCAACAAACTATATAACCCAACAGAAAATAACTTTTAAAGGTGTTTCTTTTTATGAAAAGACATAAAATATCCATCAAAAATAGTCATCAAGTATCTACTTACACATGGCTTATAAATGTACTCTTATCTTAAAGAACTACTTAATATTTAAAGTTTTGGGGGGAAAGTTTTATTTATGAGTGTTATTTTATAACCTTAAGGTAGATGTTAACACACCATGTTTCATATTTTCTATGATGCAGATTTCTTTCCCCTTTGAGTATCTCTGACATCAGGATGTATCTTACAACTGATAACAGATGACACTTGGCATCATATCTCTCAGTGGCACAAAAAATGCTATGTCTCACAACAAGAAAGCATCTTAGATTTGATAAAATGTGGTAGTCTACTTAACACACTCAAACAGGATGATCTTCTAAAGAACATTTTGAATCATAGACATACACAGCAACCAGACAGGATTAAAATCACATTTTTATCCAGCAATTAACTTATTGTCAGAAAAAAAGCTTTCTTGCCTGCTCAGGGATTCCATTTGCACACACAGTTCCACAAATATCAAACAACTTATTTGATCAACTCAGAACTCCAGGTTTCAATTCCCACACTGTCCCATCCGAACTCTAAACTTTCCCTACTCCCACGGCGACCTAGTTTCAATTCATAGGATCTTGCTTGCACTATGCTTCTGCTTAGATTTGGGAGGGATTTTTTAAATACTGAGTCTTGTAACAAGGGAGTTCCTAACCATATGTTCTTCAAACAAAAAGGAGGCATGTTTGTGGTGTGATTCTTCTTCTGTCTAAAACCAATTAGAATTTCAAAAAACCCATCTAGGTAAAGGGTATCATTATGTCATTAAACATAGTATAAACATTTGTAAAGATGTAAAAAAAATTGAAATCTACCTAAAAGTTAGGAAAATGCTGAAAATTTTACCATTGGAGTTTTAGTTGCCCGTTTCTTCTTTTCTGCTCTCTCTCTTTCCTCAATTTCCATATTTTCTTTTTCAATCAATGAAATCAAAGTGTTACAGCGTCTCTGGAATTCCTAAATGAAATAATAAAGAACTTAATTTCTAAAATTTATCCAATCCTTTAAGATAAGGTACTTCTTTAACTGTATCATTTCTGTGGAAGAAAATTTCCAAAATTTGTATTTTTTTCTACACCCCCCCCAACGAAACCAGTATTCTTTAGAACACCAGTTGTATAGGATATTAATAGGAGGAGGGGTTAAGTGTCATTCAATGGATGACAGATTAAACAAGCTGCCCCATTTTACTAGGGAACTTCCCTTGACAATGAAAGGGAAGGAACTATTGATATACAAAACATCACGGAGTCCAGGGAATTATTCTGAGTGAAAAATCCAGTCACAAAGGTTATGTCTAGTGTGCTCCATTTATATAACATATTTTTGAGGCAGAGTACTAGACTGGAACTCACTATTTAGTCAGACTGGCTATGAATGCACAGCAATCTTCTTGTTTCAGCCTCCCAAGTTCTAGAATAACAGGCATGTGCCACCCTGCCTGGCTATGTAACACCCTTAAAGGAACAGAAATAGAGAAATGGAGAGCAGATCAATGGTTGCCAGACGCTAAGGAGACTAAGGGAATGATTGTGGCTAGAGACAGTACAAGTGACTCTTGTGGAAATGATGGTTCCACAAATCTGCAAATTTAACAGTATGTCACACACACACACACACACACACACACACACACACACACACACAATGCCCGTACAAATGATATCACAACAAGTTCTGTGGATTATACTAATATGAATTTTCATATTGCAATGTTAAACTATAGCTATTCAACTTGTTACCACTGGGGAAAACTGCATGAAAGGTGAATTTCATCTCACTGTACTTTTCCTCATAACTTCCTATTTAGCTATAAATATTTCAAAATAAAATCGTAATGTAAATCACATAAACAGAAAAGAATAAATAGATGTTCTATGGCTAAGGACATATGCTTTGTGTTTTGGAAACATGGAGTTCGTACAAGTTAGATTTCCTTTTTTCTTTTTCTTTTTGAGATTATAATATAATGACATCATTTCCCCATCCCTTTTCCTCTCTCCAAACTCTCCCACATGGCCTCCTTGTTCTCTTTCAAATCCATGGCATCTTTTTCACTGTTATTACATGCATATATGTATATGAACATATATTCCTAATTATAACCTGTTCTGTGTTTTCAAGGCTGATCTTTGACGCTGGACAGTCATTTGTCCCACCCCCTCTTTCCTTCGTTGTCTGTGGTTATTTGTGTAGGGTTGAAGCCTTGTGGGCTTTTCCCCTGTCTACTTTGTCATGACCACTGTTGTTTTCCTTATTCAGTTCATACTTGGATAATCATGTTGGTGAAATTTTATGGATGTAACTTCTGACACTCCTAAGAGAAACAGTCCCACAGCAAACTCCCTGATCCTCCAGCTCTTACAATCTTGCTGTTCCCCCTCCCAATGTTACCTGAAACTCAGATGTAACAGTATTTTTTAGATGTATCCACTGGGACTGAGCTCTACAACTCTGCATTTTTGGCTGGTTGTGGTTTGTTGAAACAGATTTCTTCATTACAAAGTTTTATGGAACCTTCCAGATCCTGATCCTCACCACAAACCACTAGTCAGGCATATAAGACGCAGCTGTTCCCAAAGCTTCTTAGCCAACAAACGTCTCTCACCACACATCTTATGGGATTTAAGTTCGGGGAATCAGGGCCGAACTTGCTAATTCAGAGTAAACACTATCTGAAAAGATTTTTGCATTAACCTTGCCACTACTATATTTTACTGCCAGCAAATCAATGCATTCAAACTATAAACAGATTTTATGAATGCATGGTAAGCATTAAACATATGATTCATTAATATGGAAACTCATTTATTAGTAACCCTTTACACTTTGCTGTATTTAAAGGTATATAATGAATTAATACCAAAGGATACATAATATTTAAATACATTATTCCTTTTCTGTGTAAAAAAAATGCCTGACAAAACACAAAACAGTTAAACACTTAAACCAAAATATATTTTTCTGGCAATTAAGAGCAAACTAAAGAAAAAGAAAAATGATCAAAGTATAAGAATAGAAAACTCAGCAAACTATCAAAGAATTTTTCAGGATTTACTTTTATTTTGTGTCTATGAGTGTGTGCCTTCATGCATGTTTGTGCATCACATGTGTGCCTGGTACCTGCAGAGGCCAGAACAGAGCATCAGATTCCTTGGAACTGGGGTTATAGACCGTTATGAATCACCATGTGGGTTATGAGAACTTAATCCACCTCCTCTGGAAGAACAGTCAATGGTCTTATCCACTGCTTCATCTCTACATCCCTGGTATAAGAATTGGTGGTTTTCTTAAAGTTTCAAGAGCTGAACATGTAGTGCAATGGTAAAGCACTTGTACAACCTGTCTACAGCATATATGCATGCACACACACACACACATACTAAACCAACTTGTTCTCTGAAACCAAGTCTCAAAGAATTTGGAAGTAAAACAATGCCATTTCTCCCATGTTCACAGTGCCCATGTGTCTGTCCATGCTATGTGCACACATAGGTGTAGCATGTACCTTGGTTGCAGTAAGATGTAAATGAGAATTTATAGTCACTGATGTTGAATGGCAGTGTTACTTGTTATAAACTAAACTTTCTCCCCAAAATTCATGTATTAAAGTCCTAATGTTCATATTTAGGGGAATCCTGAGATGCTCAATGCCATATTCTGACTATATTTGGAGAAGGGTGATTTATGGCAATAATTAAGACTAAATGAGTCCAAAAAGGGTAGGGAACTAAGTCTCCCATCACCTCATTATATGCAAAAGTTGGTCATCTACCCAACAGACTACCCTTATTGGCACCTTAGTCTTGGATTCCAGTCTCCAGAACAAGAACAACAACAACAAAAAAGAAATACTGTGTATCCCATCAATTCTGTGGTATTATGTTACAGCATTGAGCAGCAAACTAACACACTGCCTTTCAAGAAAATGACTTGGAAGGAGCAAAGAACTATTTTTTTAATTTCATATCCTCTGACTTAACAATCCCATTCTTAGACACTTACTATAATCAATAGATACAGAAAATATTTCAAGAAAGTATTTAGAACAATGAATTCAGGGAATTCCTGGAAACTAAATGTTTGTTACTTGGGAATAAAAGATATAGACACTAGAAGTTGCTGAAGGAATGCTAACTAGCAGTTACTATCAGCTAGCTCTGAAAGTAGGATCAGTGGTGGGCTTTTTTTTCTTTAAAAATGGGGTCTGCATGATGGAGAAACTCACAGAACAGCTGACCAAAGCTAATGAGATATCACTGCCTCAGGTCTGACAAATGGGGAACCTACATAAGTCTGAACTAGACTCCATTAAAATGGGTGACAATGGTGCGGCTGGGACAATATATGAGGCCACTGTAGTGGGTCCAAGATCTAACTCTAATGCACAAACTGATTTACTGGAGCCCATTCTATATGGAGAGATATCTTGCTCAGCCTAGACACAGAGGTGTGGGGGGTGGAGAGGTGCCTCTATGAGATGATGGAACAGACTTAGTAGACTTCCTAGGGGAGGCCTTAACCTCTTTGAGGAGCAGATGGGAGTTGGGGTGAGGGGAGTAGGAGGAGAGGAAGGAGGAGGCACTAGGATTGGAATGTAAAAAATAAATTAATAAAAAAGCAAAAAATAGGGTCTGTTTATTCTGTAGAGAATGCATTTGTACCACAGTTCAAAAGAGATTTTGCCAGAGCAAGTCATATAGCTAAACTAGTACCTTTTATTTTTTTCTTTATACATGTCTATATTTCCAAATTTTCTAAAAAACAATTTATAAAGTTGTAAAAAATGGCAAGTTTTTTAAAACATGGTTTTATCTTTCTAAGTAAGATCTAGAAAACTGCCACATAACACAGGAAATGTTAAAACTGAATATATTACCAACTATCCAAACATCATCTACTCTCTAATTTAAGCCACCAAGGAAATGGGAAATAAAAGACAGCCTGGCCAGAAAGATATTACACATTAACAAATTTGTGTTTCCCTATTAAAAACAGCCTTCATAACACCAGAATGTTCAAGATTCTTGGATATCCCAAGGTTAAATAAACTGATAACAATAACACTATAATTTCCAGTACTTACCAAAGTAATGGTGATATGTTTAATATGCAGACCAAATACTCCTCACAGTTTCATTCAATAATATATATACATACAAATTAAACAGCATGTTATTCAATTTATCTATTATAGAAAGGGCTAAGTTAACCCTGATGAGATCTGATCTTTGGTTTCTAGGGAGACTACAAAGATTCTTTATATAAAGCTGATTCTTGAATCATTAAGGTGTACCCTACGGCTATTATTATTCTCAATAAGTCATACCTACCTGCAACTGCAGATATCTTTAGATACATATTCATAGTTCATATGAATGATTCAGGGACAAATACTAATACTTTCGGACAGTCTTATATTTAAGGAGATAGAATATCCCAAAACGATTCAAAATAGACTACAATAATAAATTCTCACCTTCATTCCTTTGAACCTGTCACTAGCTACTCCAAACATAGAAAAAACAAACTCTACAGAAAGGCATCAAAGAAAGGACAAGCACTTTTGTTCTCTTCAATTTCTCTGTTTCTTCCCATGTAGCTTTCTATTTTTCTGAGGTTAAGGGAATGGTTCGTGGAGTGTCAAACAACTTCTATAATTCTGCAGTCTAATTACCTCTTTCACCAATCCCCCACTCTTGATTTAGGAATGAATTTAGAAGAAGGAAAAAATAACACTGGGGAGTCAGAAAAAGAGATGCCAAAGCAATTAAGAGCAACAGAAGACAATAAAAAACGACAAATTGAAAAAGTGTGCTGCTGTGTTGAAAACTGTGGGAAATGTGTTAAGTATTCTGTGTTCACACTGGTGGGAAATTCAAAGCGGCAAACAAACTTATCCATGGCAGGACTTCTCAGAGCTGTTAGCATTCTAATGTAGATCGGAAGTCTTGGTG